GGTTAATTTAGGTTTATTTCGATTTTTTTTGGTGGTTACAAGGTCGGTTGAATTGACCAATTCCGCATTGAGATAGGGTAGAGAAAATAACATATAAACTATAAGGATTTAGTGAAGAAAAAAAGATTGAAATGCATTTAGATTTTAGGGATTACACAAATGAAATTTGAGATTTTTTAGATGACGAAAAGTATTTTTAATTTTAACATGAAAATTACTTTGCACACGGACTATTCAAAACAAATACTCAATATATTCATGGACAAAACTTTATTTTATTTTATTGGAAATACTTCACTAAGAAATATGACTTTTTGTATATGAAAGACTTGTAATATTAACTGAAAGACTGCCAAATTTCATAAATATATACCCAATATATAGAGAGTTATAAGTATTAAATTTATATCAACTTTAAACGAGTACAAAAGGTCACGTGACTCGGTCAAATTTTCCGACCCTGTGTTGGGAGAGTTAGGGCAAGAGTCCCCAGTACGTTCCCAGTCTCGCAGGATTTTATCTTTATACAGTAAAATTATTAAGTAAAACTATTTTTTTTTCTATTTTGAGACTGGAGACAGTCATTGTAAATTTAATGTGTACTATGAAACATTGACTATATTTCTTAATACATCTGTGTGGTAATGTTTCCTCTTTCAAATTCACAATGATTTGGCATGGAAGATCAATGTCAAATGTTCAAATGGTATTCATATATTTTAAATAATGTAACATTTATGCATAGAATAATTAAATGCACAAACTGGTAGGAGTTTATAAAATATTACAAAGCACAGTATTATTTTTCACAATCAAGAAACATAAAATCTAGCAAATGATATAAGTATGTAACAATCAGTTTCTTTAGGAAAAAAATCACAAAGATATTCTCAATAGATATACTTACCTATGTCGGTGAAAGAAAATTATAAGAAGAGAGGACCACACAGAGGTGATTATGATTATTTCTGACACATCCAATGCCCAATCTGCTGATGAAAAAACACCAAAGAAAATGTCTGGAAGAGGAGGATACTTTGATCTGTCAGGTACTCTGTCATGCACAATGGCAAGACAGGTTAGATTTAAAACCAGATTGAAAAACATAAACCAAAATGCAATAACAGTTTTACATATTTCTGAAGGAAGCCTTGCCTCTTCTCTTTCTGGAGAAGGTAAATTGATTTTAACTGCATCTTGGTTTTCACAAGGTAGGATGAGACAACTATTTTCTCTGTGGTTCATTCCTTGTTCAAAACTGCTTGTGGGCTCATTTATGTTTTTGGAATTTGGAGTGCCCTTAGAGACTTGGTACTTTCCATTTGTTAAGAGAGGTTGGTTCTCATCTTCACTAACTGACATTGTTAAGAACTAGGATAAAACAGCTTCATACTGTTCACCACTAAAGAAAAAAAAAAGATAATTAAAAGCAATTTAATAGGAAAATTTCAGTAAGATAACCTTACTACATGCTTATATGTACAAAGTACCATACTTGTAATTCCTATGAAAAACATGTTTTTGTAATTCTATTAAAGGTATATGTTAAAAAACACATTTGCTTCCATGAATACATTATTCATCAAACTAAGCGCTCTAAAGTTCACAATTCATCTACATTTGTTTTCACTTTTTTGGCAGCTGCTCTCGATATTGCAGTTAGTATACGTGGGGCTTCCACTTTTAACACTGCATGTAAATTATCTAACAGTGATCGATAAGTTAAATCATTTCCACATAACATATTCACTAATTTTGTTTGAAATTAATTCATCATATTTTTCTCATAATCCGGTCTACTGACAAAACAAGAAAATATCAAAACACTTACTCGTATATTCATCACTATCAATAAAGAGAGGTTTGATTGATTATATATCAAGTCATAATAAAATGTACAATGATACAAATCACTTCACCTGTTTCTCACAAAAAACTGTACCTCCCTTGTTTCCAATGTGCACAGGTATGTTTGAAGTAACGAATATTAGAAAGTGAGTATTGGTACTACAAATACTAATGGAATTTTAAGGTGTATTTAACAATAAACTGATTACAATTCAAAAGATATAATTATATACATATATAAACCACTACTTAGGTCTCATTTGAAATACTGTGTACAATTTTGTTCTTCTTATTTAAGAAAGAATACTGATTTACTGGACAGGGTTTAGAGGAGAGTTTAAGGAAAGAAGGGTTATCTTACAGAGAAAGGTTATGATCTCATTTCTTTTTATGAAAAGAGCAGTAAGCGGTGGTCTTACTGAAGTCTGCTACTTAGGGGATTGATAGGATTAAGGTCTCTGATAACTTATGCTACGTTATTGAGACTATAGGATGAGAGGGTACAAGTTTAAGGTTTGGAAAACACAGACTAGACTCTAATTAAGAAAGTTTTACTTTTCTAATAGGATGATTAGTTTATGTAATGAGATTTTGTCAATAGTGATGAAGGCCAGCACTTTATAATAGTTTAAAAGGGGAATGAATAATTACCTGAGCAACATATGGTGGGTTTAGGTTATTCTTTTTTTTTAATAGACCAAATGATCCCTTGCTATCAGTATGTTGTGGCAGTAATTTAAACCACTTATCTTATTTCAATTGTTCAGAAATACTAAACTCTGAAATAAAAAATAATAAAGAGTACTTTGGAATAAATTATGAGATATGAAGGGGTTTTTAAATCATCTAAAAGATCCTGAGACCCATCTTTCCTCACATAACACTTTCAAGGAACTAGCAAAGTCACTTCAATACACTATACTGAGCTGGGCAAGGCAAATGTTGACATCCTACAAGACAAAGATTCCTCACATATTAAATGCATCTCTATTGAGTTCTTAGTTCTAATGCAGATATAAACATATTAATACTCTTGTTTACAGTATCTTTTGGCGAGATGCCATTCAATTTATTCAGTCAAAATACCCTAAATTCATCAAATATATATTCTGATTAAGAAGTTAGCACACAGGATCACATAAAAAAGCCTCATTTGAAAACCATTTCATCAAATATTTACTTAATCTCATATTTAAAAGTATTGAATAAAGCCATATATTAATATTAACTAATCTCCAATGTACAGTGTAGGTTTCCAGGATATATTTACTGGACACACTTTTCATTAATCAAAAATTAAAGAGTTTTACTGAAAAGTTTGGCAGTTCAGATACTACTTTTAGTTTAACATAATAAATTCATGAGCCTGACAATTAACTGATTAACTAAGAATGCTTAGAACTTATGTTATATTAAAAGTCAAGTAAATAATTACAATACAACATTTCCACTTAAAAATACACTATATGTTACATGTTTTGACAATGTGCTTTTAAGTGGAAATCTTTGATGGCTTTAATAAACTTTTAATTGCATAAACATAAAACAATGCATTTTAGTTACTTATTCAAGATTCTCTGAGGGATGACACAGGAAGGCTAACATTTGATGATTATGGAATGGCTGGGTTAATAAAGTTAACATTTTCCTAAACTGAAAATGTATTTCCGATAAATACTTACCTTTCTGCGATTAGTACTACCCTTTATCGGCACAAATTTTAAATGCTTGCCACTAGCCTTTCACCTCCTGTTTCTGCATATCCACATGTAAACGATTATGCAGCAGCTCTCCATCAACAGGAGCACAACACATCTCCTATCATAACCAGTGCCCTCTCCATACTTGCACTTGTTAATCACTTCGAGATTGGTCATAGGACCTACACCACATATTGAAAGTGGTGTGGCTAGGTGGGAAATGTAAGTGATGGGTAAGCATTTATGAGAAATATATTTTCAGTTTAGGAAAATGTTAACTTCCAATACAATAACTTACCTTTGCTCAAAAATAGTTAGAATTCCACAATGAATTAGTGAAGGGCTGGTGAAAAAATGATCCTCTTTGAGGAAGCACCCAAAGAGAGACCATGAAGTGTGGAAGCTAAAAAGAAAATATCATACCACAACCAGAGACTGCACCACATCTGAAGCATAGTGATATATCCAGCAAAAAAAAAGGGCAGGGTGGCACACACACGTGGCTTACTAACTTTAGGGCACGTGTCATATATACTGTTACGACAGCGGAAGTCATGTGATGCTGCTGGTAGCATGCGTGATGAGTTTCTCAAATGATCAGGGAAGTCCGAGTGTGTTCGAGATGCTCTCTTCATTAGTATACAAGCCTGGCAGAGAAACCCAGCAGGGATAAATGAAGAGAGAGCAGTAGTTACTTTGAGTTCCGTGGAATTTATGATTCTGTTACTTTAGAGTTAGTGAGCCGTAAAGTGTGTGTTTTGCACTCGTCAAGAGCAAAATTATTGAGATTATGAATCGCTGTGATTTATAGCGTTTATTATAAAAGTTGTTAAGTTT